CCCCAAAACCCCAAAACCCCAAAACCCCAAAACCCCTAAATTCTAAAAAAAGAAATAAAAATGTCTCAAAACTTCACCTCTATGCTCTCTTGTCAAAAAAGGCAAAAAATGTCCCAATCCACTGCTCTAAACTCCAAGCATATCCCAATGCAGGAGAACCTGGTTCAAACTTCTTTAGGCTGCCCTCCAACAGATCTAAGTAGCCCTTACAAGCTATCTCTTGGGAGCATCCCCAAGAATAGCTCCAAGCACAGATCCTGTCGGACAATAGAACCCAACACTGTTCAAGACTCTAATAAGATCACTCAGAAGGTAACCATAACAGCTTTATATCCAGCTTGTGAAGGATTACGAAAAAGACTGGAAGATCACTCGCAAGAGACTCGAAACCTACAGTTTCTTTAAGTAGCTTAATTCGTTACCGTATAGATCAATCAAGCATTCTAAACTACCTTTGAACATTAGCTGAGTCGCTGGAGGTTAGTCCTTCATTCTAGAGTTTAGACCCTGAAATCAAAATATGCATGACAAGGAATGACTCAAATGTTCATCCTTACCTAAACAACGGGTATAATAAAGGACTTAGGCTCCAGTAATTCGCATTTTAAGAAATATAGATGCAAGTCAATGAAGAACTCAACGAATAAAAATATGAGAAGAAACCTCTCTAGCTCTGGCTCTCGGAAATCTTGAAGGGAAGGATCTCTCCCCAACTCTTACCTCAAATCTAGAAGAAAATAAAACCAGGCAGAAAATGAAAAAGATCTATAAAGATGCCTATAGACTAAACCTTATTGATAACTATATTCCAAAATCCATCAAAAAGAAGTAAGGAATGCCTAATTCTCTTAGAAGCAGGCTCAAAGATTACCCAGTCCTTGCCAAATACATAAATTATTCCAAAGAAAGAAGAGAGGCTCAGAAATATCTCTAACTGACAGACCCCTCATCGGCCAAAATCACATTAAATATTCAATTTTCTTCAGAAGAATAGGGGTTTTGGGGTTTTGGGGTTTTGGGGTTTTGGGG